CCAATAAGCTAATCGACCATTTCACACTGAGCTGTAGATGACTGAGATTAATGTATGGGTGGGTAGAATCTGTAAAGCCTGTGAAAGTGACAGCCTGAATTACAAGTCTACCCAGGTACCAAAGGGAAATCAGAAAGGAAATGAGAAAACAGTAAGCTAAACAACAACAACTAATAATAATAACAATAACCACAATTTGGTCAGGCCTGGTGGCACACATCTTTGATCCCAAATACTTGAGAAGCAGAGGCAGGCAGATCTCTGTGAGTTCAAGACCAGCCTGGTCTTCACAGTGAGTTCCACACCATAATAAGATCCTGGATCAAAGGAAACCAAACCACACACACACACACACACACACACACACACACACACACAAATACAATTTGTGGGATGCAGCTGAAACAGTGTTTTGATGGAAATTTATAGTATCAAATATTAATATTATCAATCACTAGCATGAATCTGGAGGCTCCTCATGAATTGGAGGCCAGCCTGGGCTACCTAGGGAGTTCCAGGCCAGCCTGGGCTGCTGTGCAACTCCCATCAAAGGGAAAGTGAAGAAAGAAGAAAAGACAGGCGAAACTTTTCACTCTGACACACAAAACAAGAAAAGTAAAGAATGAAAGGATAAAGATGACACTGAAGACAAAAATAATAGGGAAAAACTGATCAACTCAAAAGGAAGCTATTGAAGAGACCGAGGAAATCAACCTGTAGCCAGAATGAAAGAAGCCGCAATCCCAGGGATGAGAGGACAATCATTACGGACATTAGGAACGTTAAAGGGAGAATGGGGCCCGGGAGACGGCTCAGTGAGCGAGAGCAGAAGCCTGGCCACCTGAGTGTAGATTCCCTAGGACCCATGTAAAAGCCACACACTGGGACGGTGAAAACAGGAGACCCAGCTTCAAGGTTTGGAAGGTGAGAACTGACACCCAGGTTTGACCTCTGACCTCCAGATGTGCGCCACGGCATGTGTGTGCTTTCACATACAAGCACATTCACACCCATACAAGAATCATTTCTTTTGTTTCTTTGTTCTTGTTTTGTTTTTCGAGACAGGGTTTCTTTGTGTAGCCCTGGCTGGAACTCACTCTGTAGACCAGGCTGGCCTCAGACTCAGAGATCCACCTGCCTCTGCCTCCTGAGTGCAAGAATAAATATTTTTAAAATATAAGGGGATATTATGGACAACTTTATGCCAGAGGCTTAGTCTGATACAACTTCAGACAGATAACTAAATAAAAATAACCTATAGGTCTTGGCCTGCATTTAGAATATGATTCTCTACGTAACAGAATAAGTGTCTGTCTATAAAGTGAGATGATTATCACTCCCCAGGCAGCAATTAACAGGTAACACACTCGAAAGAAGTGATGTATTTACAGGGGAACTGTCACACACACTGGTTAGTTGAGATCAGGGTAGAAAGATGGGCTCTGATAGTTAAAATCTGGGGCACTAATAGGATGGTGGCTTCTGGGCAAGGGACTCTTCATCTTCCCCAGAGCTGGGAGACAGACTGAGTCCTGGACCAGGCGATGTGCAGGCCAGAGACATTCCAGAGAGACAGCCCGGACCCCTCAGAGTTTTGCAAGAAACCCCGGGGTCCGCCGTCTAAGTCTCTCCCAAGCCATGGAGTCTCCCAGCCTGCTTGCTCCATCTCTCCCACTCACCTCCACATAATTAGCTGGAAAGATGCCCAGGCGGCCATGATGCTCTCCCTCCAGCCAGTTCTTGTCCACTTCTTTGTGGATGTAGACAATGTCACCCTTCTGCAGAGTCAGCTCCCTGCAGGTAAGAGCTGGGTCGGTCGGTGTACTGCTTCCTGAGCCTTTCTTCTTCAGACCCTGCCCGGTACCCCACCACCACCACCCTCCAGTCTTCTGCCCACTAAAGCCCTACCCTTCCCTTCCCCCACAGTGCAGACTGCCCAGGCTGGGAGGGGGAGGGCGGAGAAGGCCACTTACTTGGGGTTCTGAGCCTGGAAGTCAAACTTGAGCCGGGCAGCCTTCCTCTGGGAAAGGGGAGAGGTCAGGGCAGAGGGGGCGACCTCAGCCAGACAGGGTCCTGCCCAGACACCCCCCTGACCCTGGGGACTCTCTTACCTTCTTCTCCTCCTTCCTCGAAGGGCTGCTACCCCTTTCAGAGGCACTAGGCTCTGTGGAGAAGCACCACCTCAGCTTGAGGAGGTCACGTCTAGGGGGATCGGGTTGGGATGGGTTATGCTCCCCCCTCCCCCCACCCAGGTCAGGCACAGGGAAGCAAGGGCTCTGTGACCTTCCTGGCCCCCACCCTCCCTTTCCTGGGGCACCACATAGCTGAGAGAGAACTTCCGCAGCAGGTAGATGGCCGTTCAGTGCCGGCAAAAACAGGATTTGTCTTACCTCGGGCTGAGGAAGGGTAGACAAAATCTCTACGTCCCAGGAAGGGGCTTCCTCCTCCATCTGCCATTCTGTGGGGGCTCAGGGGTCGGGAAGAACCGAAGTAAGGTGCATGCGGGGAGCTGGGCCTCCAGGCGGAGGCCGGGCTGCAGGGACACAGAGGCAGTGAGTCACCTGCCTGGAACTTCACATCCCTCAGGGCTAGTCCTCATACCTTACTGACCTCCCAGGACCTCCCGCTACCCCCAGTCCTGTCCCCTGCCTCCTAAGGCGTCTTCCCAGGTCCGGGACTCTCAACAGGATGCCCTTACTTCCCGTACAGCAGAGGGCCGGGAAGGGTGAGGCCTTGGGTTAGGAGAGGAGAAGGCCGCCCCAGGGAACGCGGGAAGTGTCGGGGCTCAGGTCCCACTCCCCGCCGGCCGCCGCCGCCGCCGCCGCCACCACCACCGGTGTCCTCGGCTTGGGGCAGGTGGCCCTCAAGGAGTGGACAAACCCCTACAGAGCTGCGGTTGGGACGCCCCCAGGCCACTTTTCCGATCTTCAGGCCCCTCCTCTGAGGCTCGCCCGTCCCCCATCGTGGGCAGGGCCATCGCCCCCTCGCCGGCCCGCGCCACGTCCCCTCCGCTGGGAACAGACCCTCTTGCTCCTGCCGCCGGCGTCTCTGCCACTCACCGGGCCGAGGGCCGCTGCTCTGGGGCGGGCTGCTCAGGGGACCGTCGTGGCGCCTGCGAGTTCTGCGCGGGGGGACACCGGACGTGATCAGAGCTTGGGACCCTGGGGCCAGGGCAGCTGAGGCCAGCGCCGCCACCTCCTCCGGAAAAGTTCGCGGCTCGGGAGGGAAGGAGGCCGGGGAGGGGCGGGACGCGGGGTCCTAGAGGCGGCCGCGAGCCTTCGTGCAGGGAGGAGGCACGGAGGAAGGAGGCTGGCCCGGGAAGCCAGGGCCGGGTCGGGTCTGGGGGTCCCTGGGGCTGCAGCTAGGGGTGGGACCAGGCGGGGTGGGGTATGGACTGAATCGGAGTTGGCCGGGAAGGGTTCTTAGGGGTCACTTAGAAAGTCGACGCCCAGTGTTTTGACGATCGGACAAGGCTGAAGTCCGCCCAAGGTCGCCAGTTTCTAGGTCTGCCTGCTCCCTCAGTCCCCTGCTGCTATGGCTAAAGCCTTTCCTCTCGAAGCCCTCTGGAGGCTGCTGGTACCTTAGGGGACGGCAGGCGGGTCTCAATGGCCCGCAGGTCCTTGTCCAGCTCTGCGCTCAGCTTGGCCAGTTCTCGCTCTAGCAGGACCTGGGGGATAAGATTCTTTTGGGAAGGGCACTGTGTCGGAGGCTGGTCAGAGGTCAGAAGTGAGAGGCTGGTCTGGGCAGGCCTGGAGGGAGGGGACCAAGAGAGGTTTCCATGCCTACAGGCATGCTTCAAGGGTAGTGTGGGAAGGTGTCACGTCCTCTCTGTCACCAGTCCCCAACTCAGGACTCCAGGGTGTCAAGAGTGCCTTAGTCTTTCCTGGCCTTTTTAATTTTGAGAGAATGGGGTGGTGGTGGTGGTGGTGGTGGTGGTGGTGGTGGTGGGTGGCTGGGTGGCTGGGTGTGGGGGGGTTATGTTTTGTTTAGGAACCTGAGGGCTCGCCAAATTCCTTTCTATTGGCCTGTATGGCCTTCCATGGCCTGGCTTCACTGCACCCACCCATCATCACACTGCTCATTACACACACACACACACACA